TTTTTTTGTTTTTTGTTTTCCTACTGAGAAAAGAAGAGGAAGGGGAAGGGGGAGGAGATGCTGGCTATAACAGAAACAGCCCTGGCACAGCAGATACAGGCTTTGCAAGGAAGGGGATACTGGACAGAAATTTCTGGGTACCAATAATTTTAACCTGAAGTATGTACCTGTCTGATTTAGGTAAAGTATTGCCTATAATACTTTAGTTCAAACACACATTGTAGGTGTTCTAAATTGGGAACTAAAAGCCCACTCCTTGGGAGGAGTTTGGAGAAGGGAGGAATTTCTGCCTCTTGGGTCATAAATCAGTGAGTTAAGGATGGCCTATGTTCACGCAGGACAACACTCTTAATTTCTGTTCTTCAGTTTCTTCACTGACACAATTACTGATGCTAACAAAAGTCTAACTTTCAAGTTTACGATGTCAGTTTAAAATTGAGAGCAGGGGAAAGGGGGCTGGATTGTAAGCTTCTTAAAGGCTAGGGCCATGTCCTATTCACTTCTATATACCCCAGTCCTCTGCTCAATACATAAGTTATCAATAATAAATAAAAATTAAGGAAGAGCTTTAACTTTTTTAAATATTAGCAAAAAGTGTGGGCTCAGGAGCCCCACTTCTCAGGTTCAAATCTTGGTTGCCTCATGGCTGGGTAACCAAGGGCAAGCTGTAACCTCCCTGGCCTCAGTTTTCTCATTTGGGAAAAGAGGTAGTGATTGTACCTACCTCACAGGGTCACTGTAAGATTAAATGTATTCATAGCTGTAAGGAGCCCTGGTTGCACAGTGGTTAAGCACTCGGCTGCTAACCAAAAAGTAGGTGGTTCAAACCCATCAGCCGCTCTACGGGAGAAAGACGTGGCAGTCTGCTTCCATAAAGCTCACAGCCTTAGAAACCCTACGGGCAGTTCCACTCTGTCCTATGTTGTTGTCGTCGTTGTTTCCAACGAGCAGTTGGTGGATTCAAACTGCCAACCTTTTAGTTAGCAGCCTGAGCTCTTAACCAATTGCCACCAGGACTCTGTACTATAGGGTCACTATGAGTGCCCACCATGCAATTAGCTCAATACCTTTCAGCTATTATTATTTTCTCCATCATCACTTAGCTAGTTGTCTTCTTTTTTACACCCAAATTAGTTTCTCAAGGAATGTGGTGAAAATATCAGTTGGTTGGATACATATAACTTTAGAACAATCTAGATTTGGTGAGGAAACAAGCCAAAATGTGAATTGGTAACTCGTTCCAAACTATCACGAGCTCTCCTCTTCTTGACTTGTGTACAGCAGGAAAAGTTCTCGTCAGGAAAGAGTGGATTCGGGGACTGGAATGTTCAGGCCGTTCTGTCCCATGCACTTCCAACCAAGGGCATTTCTGCTGGGAATCTTGAAAACATTCAGCATTTTTGCACAAGGAATGACGTGAAGGTACAGAGGTTCGCTGGACAGAGTCATTGCTACCTGGCCCCGAAGAAACGTGCAGGCGACATAGCCCTCAGTGCTTGTCCAATAAACAAACACACACTCATCACCACTGGCTTCCTGACATCACTTTTTGGAGGCGGAAGGGGTCACTGGCCAAAGACTCTAAGCTAAGGAAAGATACCTGGTTGCCAAAAGACCAAAATAATTGTGTATTTCTACTAATTCCGTTGGTTGTTGCAATTATATCTCTCAAACAGATCTCCTTTTAAGTGGAAAATATATACAGGTCATTGACAATATTCCCTCTAAAGACTGTCACCTTTTGAATTTTAAAGAAGCTCTCAAGAAAGATTCCTGGGAGAGATGTTGTTGAACCCACTGAAGCCCAGAGAAATGGTTGTCATCCTTTTTCTTTCTTCTCACTCCTGGAGAAAAAACAGCAGCAGACAGAACAGTGAACGTGCAAGAGCGGCGGCTTTTCTGGAGCAAAGGCGTTAGACGAGGTGACACATGCTGACAGGTTCCACAAATAGTGGATGGTCTGCCAATCAGAAGACGAGTTCAGTGTATTTGCAGTGTGAGTCACATAGAATTCAAAGACAAGTCACGATCACTCTGTGTGTCATCCTCTAACGTGAAGGTCAAGAGAAAGGAGAAGGTGGGTGGAGGCAGCGAGGGGAAGAGCAAGGAGACCATGGTGCAGGCAGATCAACCACCTCCAGGCAGGCAGGTGTAGTTTCTTCATTTCTGACAGTGCCCAGGGACCCCTGTGTAACTGTTTGCTTTGCTGACATCTGAGGCTTTCACACACATGTAGCCAGCATTTCAATAATTCTCAAGTCCTTTGCAACTCATAAAATCACCTCTTCCCTGACTCAGTAAAGCTTTTCTTTCCTTCTCGTGGTAATTTATTTATTTCCAGTCAGGAAAGGGTTGCAGGGAAGAGGCGAGCAAGGAAGGCCAGATGAGGATGCCACACACAGTACTATGGATCCCAGAGTCCCCTGAAATGGACTTCATTGATTAACTGAAGAGAATTCCAGAACACCAAAAACACTCATATTCACATAGGGAAAAAAAAATCTGAAGCTTAATTCAAAGGAATTTTTGCGTTGTTTTCATCATTTGCTTTTCTCCATTAGGTCAGAAAATGCAGGAGAAGAGAAAGAGGGAGGGCAAGATCGATAGAGACAGAGACAGAAAGACTGAGTCCATGAAACACAAAGCTAAGTCATTTCAGTGCCCTTTTAAAACATGTAAATACAGTACTTAATTTCTCCACTCTCCATTAAAAAGCTTTTCTGAGGAAAGGACCCATTTTTAGCACTGAAAAATAAGATAGTAAACATTCTCACAAATCTACACATGTTCACACATACATACACTATTCCTCTTGCTTAATCTACAACCTTCATAAAAGAACTGTCCTATTTTAATCAACGGGGTAATTTTTAAGTAAATTACTTGGTAAGTACAAACACGACCTATTTTCCCCGGTTTCAGGAAGAAAAATGCTGTGCAGTATAAGCAAATACGCTACATATTTTTTTAACCTCCATCCTTCGTGCTCGGAGTGTCGAGCTGGCCTGTTAAGGTTGTAACAATGACAAGTACTGACCAGATGTAACCACGCTGAGAATCTGCTGACCGATTATTGCTGACATTCCCTACTTCGATCTGATTCATGGAAGGAACCAAGCGGCAATAAAAGGGTAAAAGGTTATACTAGGAAGACAGAAACAAAGCTTCAACCTAGAGTTGGGATCAGGATCCTTGTCACCCCTAAGGTCCTTGTCTAGCACTTGCTGTATTCCTGGGATTGACCCTTCCTCTCTCTGAGTGTCCCGAGGCAGGCAGCTGCGGGGAGGGAGGGCTGGTTATTGTGTTCTAGATCTGGAGGCTTCTCTCAAGATGGAAGAGGTGAGGGAAGTGAGAGTACAGAGGTTATTAGGGGTCAAAGGCTTGATTGGGCACAGAAGCAAGCTAAGTGGAGTTACTGGAGACAAAGGGTCTATTTAAACACACACACACACACACACACACACACACACGCACACACGCACACATCCCTTCTTACCAAAAAAACCAAACCCATGCTGTCAAGTCAATTCCGATGCATGACCTTCTAGGACACTACTTCCTAGCTGATTCATATTTATCACCTTACGAAATTTCTGAATATTTGGTCTGTACACAAACGTGTACTAAATAAAAAGAAAAAAAAAAGACTATTCCCAGGTAGATTATCTCTTAGGAAAGTACGTATATCTTGCTAATCAGAAGTCACATCTTAATTCTGGTATTTGGGAAACTATGTTGCCACAGTAAATAAATGATGAAGAGTAAATTATTTGTTAAAAAACCCAAAGCGCCCACATAAATCATTCTAGACACTGTTTCTCGTTTTCCGACATATTACTGTACACAAAGCTGCTTTGGGTGCTTGCATTCTTAAAGCATTTGAACACTAACCAGCCTATTAATTTAAAAAGCCAGAAGCTTCATCTGCTCCTCTAATCACCATGACCTGTTCTGTACTTTGGAAAAGGCAAGAAAGACTAAGCATGGCTTGGGTGGGAATAATTTGGGGGATCACGGTTTGTGGTTGTTCACATCTGGATTAGGTATAAAACGATAACATTACGATGATGAACGCTAGAGAGCCTCATCTGCATATAAATAGACCTAATCAGAAATGCAAATTGCAATCAGGAGAAATTTTTAAAGGCTGTAAGAGCTGTGTGATTGTGCAGATAAGGAAAGGTCAACACTTGTATTGTTAAAGTGGTTTAACTGCTCCCAGCCGGCCCAGAGCCTTCCTTTGAAAGAGCAATGTGGAAGGTACAAATTATCTATCAATCTGCAACTAGGCCAGGACTGACAGCTTTGTTTTCCATAACTAGAGCCTTGAGCTGGCCAAACACTGGCTGATTCCCATGAAAGACAAACACCTACACTAAAATAAATATTCAATCTACTCTTCATAATCAGTCTTCTCTCTTTTACAAACCCCTAATAAATGCATACAATAGAAAGTATATTTGCATTTAAATATCCTCCAAATAGACTTCTTTCAACACAATTTCCCACTGAGACATAAATGAAGGGGTCAAGAGTAAGACATATGACTGATGTAACATTTTTCTGAGTGGGTCTGAGTGATACAGCAATATGATTCACATTTTTTTTTACCCCGAAACTTTCCTGAATACTCAAGAAAGATTCAAACTGGGCAGAAAAAAAATCGATGAGATTACATAGTTAAAAAGAAAACACCAGTACTTAGATTACTTAATGCAAAACTGCATTTGTAGTCTTCTTGAGCAAAGCACAAAAAAAATGAACATCTCAGAAAAACTGGAGTACTAAAAAGATGCAATTGTTACAACATAGTTCCTTGGGATATGTTATCTTTTAGGAACATTTCCCCCCCTCCCCATTTTTTTTTCCAAAAGAAATAAATTTTACAATCAGGCTTCCTCAGATTTGAAGAGAAATTGTGTATGAACTATTTATTATCCCTCTATCTAGGCTCATTTCACAAAGAACTAATGAGTCAAGAGCGCCATCTAGTGTCCTACCTTGGAATCTTAAAGAGCGTTTTCACAGGATGCATGTCAAACAGGGGAGGGTCTCCATCCCCCAGTTCAATAGCTGTGATCCCCAAGGACCAGACGTCACAACGAGCGTCATATGAAGAGTCATACTGCTGTTCACAAGCAATGACCTATCAGACAAAAGCAAGACATAACACATCAACTCCACTGCCACCTCCAATGTTCTAAAAGGTCCTTGGTTGATCTTAGCACCTCTTCTTTGTTCCCTTGGCTACTCGGATACTGAATTTGAATAATAATGAGACACGTGTTTTCTAGACCTTATTTGTGTGACTGATTTATCATCTGATATGTTCACTGACTTTAAAAAATGTGTCGGTTCAGTTCAATAAACACTCACTGAATCTTCTACGTACCAAGAACAGTGCAAGGGAAAGCACAAGAGTGAATTAACACCATCCTTGCCCCTCTACCCTTTAAGGAAAGGCTTTGTCTGCATCCTGCACCTTGTTACCAGACATTGAATTCAATACCGAGGAACGGTTGTTCTCAAAGATGCTTGACTCCTGAACATAATCCCCATGACTGCTGTCAAATGAGCAGAAAGATGTTGGAAAACGGATGTGGTTAACATAAAGCAGGAGCCCCCTCCCCATTACCTCTCTCCAGGAACATCTTCCCCCTCCTCAAACTCCAACAACTGGTTTGTATTACAGCAGCAGCAGCTGCCACTTTGGCTGTCCCTATGGTTATTGGCCTGACTGGGTACAAGAACAGCAGAGTCAGAAAATGCCCCTGGGAATGTCATTCATTTGGGGAACATGGAACCTTGTAAAGAAATCTCTATCAACTTCCTGAGTCAGGCAGGAAGATCTCCCACACTCAGCCTCTGAGGACTATCACAATGGAGTTGGGAAAAGGCAGGGATGAGGCAAGGCGTTACAGGGGGACTGTTGTTAACTGCCTTCGGGTCGGCTCTGACTCATGGCGACCTTACGTAAGACAGAATGAAACGTTACCCAGTCCTGCACCATCTCCACGATCTTTGATATATTTGAGCCCAGTGTTGAGGCTACTGCATCAATCCATCTCATTGAGGGTTTCCTTCATTTTCCCTGACCCTCTACTTCACCAAACATGATGTCCTTTTCTGGAGGTTGGTCTATCCCGTTGATGTGTCCAAAGTAAGCAAGATGCAGTCTTGCCATCCTCGCTTCTAAGAAGCATTCCAGTTGTATTTAAGACTGATTTTTTCATTCTTCTGGAAGTCCACAGTATGTTCAATATTCTTCACAAACACCACAATTCAAATGCATCAATTCTTCTGTTTTCTTTTCATTGTCTAGCTTTCGCATGCATATGAAGTGAAGAATGAAAAGACCACAGAGGGACTAGATGTCCCTATTTGACCTGAGATCTGCTTCCTTGACCAAGCATGACCTATGACTATGGGCGGGTAAGAAACTCCGAGCGTCTGGAAATGCATCTGTCCAAACAACCCATGAGGTAAACAAGCAGCATTGCTGGTAAGCAAAGGGACCCCAGAGAGAGCAGTAAGGCCCCGCTCTTAGGCCATCATAAGGTCTTTAGCTTTTACTCCGAGTGAGGTAGGAAAACAGACCCTGTTGAGCAGAGGGGTAACATAATCTAGCTTATATTTAATATGATCCTCTAGCTGCTGAGTTGGGAATAGACTGAAGTGGGACATGAGTGGAAGAAACAAAACTAGATGGGAGATGGTGAGTAGTAACAGTGGAAGAGGTGAGAAATAATCAGATTCTGGATATAGTTTTGAAAGTAGAGTCAACTGGATTTGCTGACGGAATGTATATAAGGTATAAGAGAAAGAGGAGTTGAGGACGACTCTGAAGTTTTGACCTGAATAACAAGAAGAATAGAATTGCTATTTACTGAGATGGGGAAGGTGGGAGAAGCAGGTTTGTGGGTGAAAAGCAGGAGCCCAATTTAGAAGACATATTAAGTCTGAGATGCCTATCAGACTTCCAAATGGAGAAGTTGCTTTTAGCCTGTTGAGACCCATGTTAGACTTCTGACTTACAGAATTGTAAGATAATAAAAGTGTATTGTTTTAAGCCACTAGGTTTATACCTGCTCTCTTCCAGACCCAGTTAATTGTTCTTGCAAGGTCTGGCAAAACATACCGGCCATCTTGCCCTGGACACCATGCTCCTGCTCCCATGATCACCCTCTACCTTCTTTTAGCTCGTTTCTGAACTGGAGAAGGTTTTTTCCATGCACGCACGCACATCCTCTGCCTGGTCACAGTCTCATACTTTGACTATAATATCCTGTCATACTTTTAACACATTATTTTCAAACGTGCATTCAGACTGAAGTACAAATAATTCCAATTTCAGAAGCAGAAGCCATTTCATCGCCCCTGAAGACCTTACTTTCATCATCCCAATCAGGTGAGAAGCTACACTATTTTTAAAGATATCCATAGAAGGCTATTCAACACCTTCCCTTTCAGAAATGACATTTTCAAAAGCGTGGGACAAATATAATTTTAGACCTATCAATCAGCTAAGACTTCACCATTTTTATACTCAACACTGTGATGTGCCCTGTGAGGGAAAGAGAATAAGATTCCATCCCGCCCCAACAGGAGCCAACAGCCAGTTGAAATATAAAATGAGTCTATAATAATTAAATGACAAACCATAACAGCTATAATGTCCTAAGACAATGTGTATAAAAGTTTCCAATAAAGGATATGGGCTCCAAATGCTTAGGAATTCAGAGGAAGATCATTTCTGGCTAAGCCTGCCAGTGAAAAGTATCTAGTGCCCAGAGTCTACAACTTCCTGGAAGAAATTCAAATCAACTTCTAGCCATCTTGGATGGGACACGGAAGGCAATTCCAAGAACATAACCAAATGTGGAATGGTGATATCCTAACATTTCTCAGGTGCTATCATAAAATATTCAAAGCATTTATCTGGTTTCTTTACAAACAGACACTATCTTTGGCTGAGTCTGATTAATGGCAAAGCATCCCTTGGCCAAATTCTCTTCCCCAAATTCAGCTCATAATGTGACAAAAGAAATTCCCTAAGCTCAGACTTCCAAGGAAATTTATAGGAAATCATGCTAATAAAATAGTTCACAAACAATTACTGAGTACCCATAAGCCAGGCATGGTATGAGGCCCTGGGGAGAAAAAATTAATTTAATCATCACAATAATTCTATGAGGTAGGCACTATTATCTCCTTTTATACAAAATGAGGCATGGAAAAGTTAACTATCTTACCCAGAATCATACAGCTAGTAATTGTCAGGGCCAAAATTTGAACCCAGGCAGCAGAGATGGACATGTAAACAAATCATTGCAATACAATGTGATAAGGGCTATAATAAAGGTCATGTTAAGGAACAGTTGAATGGATCAGCTTCTGTTCTCATGTTTTGACTAAACTAACCAGGTTCTTTGAGGTACTGTCACCTAAACTCCACCTTCTCAGAGTAAACCTCAGGCACAGATGGTATTTCTCTTTCAGGATTGGTCCTTAGCAGAAGTAAACGACCCTCTGTGGGTTACCCATGCGATGAGGTTTAAAGACACGCTCCAGGAAGATGCATCCCAACTGAAGGTCAGCATGTCTTGGAATAGGATTCCCTGTGTATCTAACACCAAAGTCTGCAACTATTTCCTTAGGAGACAAAAGAAATGTCATTCTCCTTAGCTCAGCATTCTCCTTGTCTCTAAGTAGAATAAAGCTGACTTCAGGATGCTTGGGATGCCAACTGGTCTTCGTTCCCTTGCCCTCAGGAGAAGGCAACCTCCCAAAAAACTCACTGAATCAGCTATGAGGATGCTCCACCAAGGAAGGAGGGTAGCAATGGCAAGTAAGTATACTGCCCTGGGAGCAGGTTTCTCAGGTTCTTTCAGTCTTGTTAAACCCTTTTGTGCCCAGCGGTGCATATAGCAACCATGAACTTTTTCAGCCTCTGGAGCTAATTGGGAAGCTGCTGTACCACTGATAGTGCATGCTGTCACAAGGTAGGGGCCTTTACGACTGTTTGAAAGCAAAGAAAGGGATGTGTCGCATATTACAGTTTTTACAGAGTGTTGTATAAGATGTCTGCATTTTTGGTGGGAAAAATAGAAATTTTGAAAATTTGTATTTGTTATACACATATGTACTAGTAGACCCTGGTAGGGACTCGGGGGTAGAATTAATGGTACTTCATATGTACCAAGGGACACTAAGTGTATGCTTGTGGAAAGGAGCAAGAAAAAAAATCCATACTACCTGCCAAAAATTCAGACACACTCAATGATTGGGCATGCTTCCATTAATGAAAACACATAGTCAACAAAAAATTCAAAGCAGAAAATAATTGGGTCACCAAAGGGTTAGAGGGGTGGAGAGAAAGGATAGAGATGGTATGGACACAAGGCCCAGGTTCCCAAACACCTAGTCCTCTCTTATCACAGTCACACCCCTCCACCTCTCCCTCTACCACCCAAAGGAGACATGCCCAAGGCAAGAGTATACTCTCCTTTACCTTGAGCCTTTGCTTTGATTACAGGAGTGTGAATGACGTTGGTGGCAGTAGAATAGGGAGGACAGAATAGGTATGAGAGAGTTCAAAGGAAGACTTGCGAGACCTAAGAGTGATTTAATATGGGAGGTTAGGGATAGGGACACATCAAGAAGACTGACATTTTGATACAGAGCAACCAGGAGAATGATGGGACCATTTACAGAAATAGGAGAGTCAGGAAAAGAAATCAGTTTACTAGGCAGTATAACAAGTTCAAATTGTGTCTGAGGTCTGTCCCTGGACCTCACTTTCTTTTTTTTTTTTTTTTTTAATTGTTGTAATTAAATGAAGTTTACATTTCAAGTTAGTCTCCCATACAAAAATTTTTTTACATACATTGTTATGAGACCCTAATTGCTCACCCCATTCTGCGACAGCACACTCCTCCTTTCTGCCCGATTCCCCATGACCATTCAACCAGCTCCTAACTCTCTCTGCCTTCCCATGTCACCTCTGGACAGAAGCTGCCCCTTTGGTCTCTTTTATCTACTTGACCAAAAGGCATACTCTTCACAAGTATCACTTTATGCCCTACAGTCAAGTCCAATCCCTGTCTGAAGAGTTGGCCTTGGAAATTGTTTTAGTTCTGGGCTGAT